TTCGTACGCATAACCAGTGAGTGAGGCGGTGTTTCTAAGAGTTGACTGTGTTAATACCGATAAGTGACCTGCGCGAAGCCGCCGATCTTAAAATGTTTTTCGCTCCAAAGAAATCCTATACGATTAATTAAATTCTAATCCTCCTAAATAACGATTTGTTATGTTTTTTACAAAATGTCTGACCTGAAGAAGAAAGATTGTGTCCTCTTGCTAGTAACAATTAGTAATACTAGTAGTATAAAGAACAGCATTAATATTAATATGGAAATTGCTACATTGTATCATGAGGATGATAAAAATGGCGGGGATAGTACGAATGCCACTCTATTTGGTTTTCTTCTCTCTCTAAAAAGTTGTTCGAAAAAATGACCAAGGCTCCTTTAGAGTAGGGGAAGGTCGAACAAAAGTATTACAAATCAACAGTTACCTATTCAACGCAAACTTTAACTTATTTTAGTAGGATATGTAGGTTTTTTTTTTCTATACATGTATCTTTTATTCCAGAGTAAAAAAGTGGAACATTAAAACTTACAGAAGCTTTGAACAGTTATTGGAATCAAGTGAAACAATTAGCAGCTTGTGTTATGATGATGAATAGATATGCTTTTTACGAATAGTGTTAGCGTGCCAAAAAATAATTTAACCCTGTGATTTCGAGGTTTTTGCAGTTTTGAAAACGAAACAAAAACGAATTAATCTTAAGCTATGAATAAAAAAGATTTATTTTTTCGTTAACCAAAGATATAGTTAATATCTTTATATATAACATAGTTAATATGTTCAATAGCATTCAAATAATGGCAAAATATAATTTAAGTACATTTCATATTTTTCTAAAATTAATATTCTCAAAACAAATAGAAGAAGTCATGGCAAAAAACATCACATTGCGCCGGTATAGTGCATTGGATCATATTTAAGGACGCTTCATGACCGCTCGATTTACGATCCTATTCCCTGCTCTTCTCTGCTCCTCGCTCGTGCATACTTTATAGAACGATTGATTGTTCGAGTGAAACAAATAACCTTCGTGAACTACGGCCCACAACTTAGTACGAAATCTAGTCAGGGTAGAGGTTTGGACGATTTTTAAGAGTTGAAGGAGCGTCGGATGATGTCCCTGCCTAAAAACGAGCAGTTGTATTGCCTACATTGTTTAACTAAGTGAATGTCATTTGTTTTTCGATACTTAGTTTTTTTTTAAGATACACACACGCGTCCAGATGATCCCTCATGCACTCAAAAAAAGATCATACAAATTATATGTATATTATATATACAAATTGTAATACAACTTATTAAGATATAAATTCCGATCACAACATATATGTGCACGTCTTAAATAGATTAACGTTTCTATTTTCTATAATATAATAGTAAAGGACGCAGAGACTACTCATAGTTCGGTATGAGATTTCCCCGTCAGGCGATAGAGAATTCGTTGTTACCAGCCGTTCTTAAGAGCTTTTGAGCAAGAGAAACTGCAACCATCAAAAATTCTTCAATCATAGAGACCTTTATGATAATTGCTTCTACGATAATGTTGTGTTTTATGTACACGTTTTCTGCAACGTAATCTTCTACGACCGAATTTTATCTTCGCAGGCTAACCTCGAAGCATGAAAATATCCGGTTACGCTATGGGTTAACAAATGGCCTGTGGCGGCATCCAATTCTCGTCGGATGGATGTTCAATTATAATGAGCAGGACAAATCGAATAAAGGTTTATTTGTCACCTGACAAAATGTTATGAGGGGTTCGGAGACCAATGGAAAAGGGCAAAGGTTCCTCGTGTGCTATTTTGTAACGAGAAGCACAGTAGTGCCATCGAAAATAACCGACTTCTATCAAGTAAATCAAAGCGGACGGTTAGAAATATGTGAAGTATTTCAATCTCGGGCTCTATCCTTTATATTAGCACATTTGATTTTTCAAGTTTAAACTAAAATTGTTTAACAGTTTCTCATTATGATCAGAGACTTATGAGTATCTGCATAAGGATTTGGCTTCACCACCTCAACATTAGCGAGGCTAGAAAAATCCCTAAATAAGCCTCAGTTGTACATGGTAACAATGTTTTTTGACTTTAGAGGCTATTTTAGCGAATTGAGAAGCTATATAGTTTCTCCATTAAATTGCCTCATAATATTATAATAATAAATGTTCAAAACAGCAATCGTTAATCACCTGAGACCTTGGTACTGAAGACAATGGGGTAATATATGTTTTTGATGATTGTGGCCTTTCCAGCGGATGAGAATTATTTTAATGGAGATTCTTTCCACCAACAAAAACTCACGAAACAGTGAAAAAAAAGTTTGATAAACTACAATCATTGTTTTTTTTTCTGTAGGTTTCAAAATAGGACGATCACAGCGGTCAAGCAGTGTTTCTCCTATAGGCTAATCGAATAATCCCCTATCCTTGTGCTATATTAGGCACGTGCACCAAAAAAACAAATAGACTGAATTCAGGGCTTCAGGGTATGGTAGATTCGAAAGAGGTCTCGATATTTCCGCGAACATGTTTCTTCTTCGTCGGTATCAACTGTGTGTGACGATTGAAGATCGTTATTTTAAGCTTTTGTTTTGATCTTACCAGATAAGCTAGTTAAAGGTGGATTAGTTTTTGAAATTCTGTTAAGGTGCTCAAACTAGGATGTCTTACCATTTTGGGGTTCTATTGGTGTTCAAGTAATACCAACCGAAAAACAAAATTCTAACTTAAAACATTGATAAATTAGTTCTCGGATCATGAAGGAAAATTTTAAAGCATTCCATAAAGTTAAATATACAAATATAACTTCATTGCTTGACTTCATACTACCTATTATTGTCGCCCCACTGAGTTACTGTGTTAGAAAACCGCGTTGAAGGAAACAGCAGGTTTTTACCATTAGGCAGCGGGCCTTTTCAGCAGACGGTGCAACACCTCTCTTGTAGCCATACACTTTCGAAAAAGATTTCTGGCATTAGACTTTAATTTGTAGGCTTAAATGAATATCGCCTATTGATGGTCTCTCACCTTAAGGATTGACCATAACCTTGGATACATTTTGCATATTAATATACAGCAAATGAATATATCTATTGGGAAAACTAAGTTTATTTCAAACTTAAGGTCGATTCTATCTGTCTCTGTCGTGTTTGTAAATCACCGAAGGCCAACATGCATTCGAGCGACAGGCACAATGGTGCGTGTTGTTTGCGACAAAAAAAGTCACAATTCAGAGCAAGGTTTGTATCGAAATAGAGAGTCCACTGCGGTGACACTCCGCAAATGTCATGTAGACCACATTTCTCGTTGGCGGATAAAGCTAATTGACCAAGAAGAAACTCATTCGCCTGTAAAGAAAATTAGGCTGGGAAGAGAATGAACAGAACAAATGAATGAGTAGCATAGGTGCCAATTTAACGATGTCGACAGGACGTCACGGTCAGCGACCAGGATGCAAGCTTTCGTTTCAACAACACGAGGCGACTTGCGGCACTTCGTGGAAAACAATCTGCTTGAAACGACGTTCTTAGGATCCTGTTGCGCGGCAATGTCATCAGGTCTCGGTCCTATGATCTGATTCCCGTGGGGTTTAATGTACAGGACGCTGTATACAGAGCAACGTTAAAAACAATGCAAAACAATGTACCCAGCAAGATGCTTCGTGGAGTTAATAATGAACTACGCAGCATTACGCGAAACGGAATGAATTGCGCAAGCGGTCTCTAGGAGGACATTTGGCTGACACTGCTTTTGCATGTATAGTATAAATTAGGTGTGGATTGACCTACGTGACAATAAAAGTACTATTTTATATCGCGGGGATATTAGAATAAACTAGACACTTCTGTCCAACTCTACATAATACCTAGAGAAACGGCAAGGTGTTATAAAAGTGGGTATGTTTGAGAATAGCCAACGTAGATCTTGCTAATAACAAAAACTTACCCGTGGGCTTAGCTCCGCAGTTACCAGTTGGAAACGTGTATACTTTAAACTATAATTGATCTTGTTATACTTTTACATTCGCTTCATTGGTTACTCGCTTTTTCCTATTAACGTATTGCCTCTGTGATCATAGCTGGACCTAAGCCTAAGCTTGAGTTTAAACTCAATGGGCAATACGGCGCTGAAACAAGACATCCTCATAGTTTCTTATATATATGAGCAACTGCCCCGACTTGGGGCTATTGCGTTATAGATACAACGGCGGCTGCCTATTACTGTAAAAAAGTTTGTCCAAGAAAGCTGTAGTTCTGATGATGATGAGAATGCTGTCAACAATTAAGGACTATTGTCTCCTTCCGGCTGTCCTTCCGACTTTTTAATCTCAGTGAATCTGGACCAGTTGAATTGATTTAAATCTAAGTTTTTGAAGGGCTTTATTGCACTGCATGAGGAAGCTAGCATGCCTTCTTCCTGACACACACCTGTTCACCAAAGAACCAAAAATGACGTCTAGGGCTATCTCTAACGACTTTAACGCTTGTGTGCTTGTATGTGCCTATTTCTACACTGTCTCCCAGTTTATATATATTGTTCTATTCTATGTTTCTCAATCGCACCATTAAAATCATCTTAACAAAAGTCCTAAATTAGTCGCTTAGTAATTATTCTGTTACCCAATTGGAGCAACTGTTTCACCACATTTGAGGTAAACCATTATTTATAGGATTCCTTTGATAGTGTATCGTACTCGATGAGGAGCAGACAAGAAAGTTCTGAGTTGAGTGAAGGGCGTTAATTCTCAAAAAGCTCGTTGTTTCACAGTATTCGTGTACACAGTTTGTACATAAATACCGTTTATTCTGTTAGCCACACAACAGACACAAGACTGAAACCTTATCGTTATTAAGTAGTTGCAGTTTGTGTGAAATTTATAAAGCTCATGTTAGTTACCATCATATGTATTATACCTAAACATGTAATGTTTGAACACTAAAGATTTGACTACTTCATTTTGATTTGTTTTTAGTTTGCTCCATCCTGAAGAACGGAACTTTCGCCATGGTCGCCACGACAACGGCTTCATCTTACGAGACGCTGGTGTCCTATTCAAATACATTTCAAATTCCTATTGTTAGTCCGTCATTTCCGTATCACACCAGGCTCCGGCCGGCAAGGTACGGTATTTCAATGCGGCCTGACTATCTAAAAGCGATTCTTGACCTCATACAGCATTATCGATGGAAACAAATCGTCTACATCTACGATTCTGACGCCGGTAAGAATGCTCTTAGTTAACTGGCACAAGTCTCTAACTGAAAGTGGCCGTTTCAGTTCAAACTGCGATAAAATCCTTAAAGCTTAAAAAGTTAAAAAGTAATATATAAATTAAATATTTTATATATTATTAACTTTCGCGAACGCATTATTGAAATTTCCCGATCGACGCATAAGTAGAACACACTTGTTACTGTAACTCATTAAAAAACGCCTAAAAAATCGATAAAAAGACAAGAAGAGTCCTCGTTAAATTGTTTCTCACGTGCGTACGCCTTCTGCAAACAGATAGACCAATCTGGCTTCAACACTGAGACTATCCTTAAGATTTACTTGCCTATACTTTTGGCGCACGAGATGCTGTCTCCGCGTAATATTGGACATGTTACAAGCTACACATATTTATCTTATATTAGAAATCGTTTTTAATGTGAAGCCAAACAGAAATTCAATTTCCCTTATTTTCTCGATGATGCCGTTGTTCTTTGGGCTAGTGACAATGCGTAATTTTACATGAGAACGTATAAGTACGCAGTTCACGGTCATCACTTAAACCTTTTTGAGGAATCAGATCTTTATAGGAACCTTAAAGAATATGATTTTTTGTCAAGCATTTAGAGACAAACTTCTCTTTTCGATATTAACGTGCTCAAATGAGGTCGAAGCAGATTTGCTACATGTTAGTGAAACACGTGTCGCTAACTGATCTGTCAGTGATCAACTGAAGTGCTGCAATGACCTGGAGCGTACTTCTGACGAGTATCTTATGTAGGATTGTGATTCTGAGCATTAACAAGCAATGTCGTAACTAGTACTGCTTGCTAAAACCAGTGTGCCGATGCACTAATTATAAAGAGTATGTATTAAACAAGATTGCTCGAAAACGTGACGATGTGCACTATTCAAATATCCTGTCTAAATGATATGATGCCTCATTATTTATGGCCACCTAATAAGTTTTATAAGATCCACCGCCTTTCCCTAAGTTACTGAGCAATGCATGTGGGCCCACAAGTAAACATTTGGTACCTATTTACCTTTACTGTGGCAACGCTATGGCTGGACCATCTTTGCATCCTTTCTGCGCTCCCTGCTCCTCGAGGCCTGCCCCATACTGTCCGACCATATCATCCTTATTACCTGCTTGCGCGCTTTCTTCCGCACAGAAAACAAACTTCCCCTCTTCTTTAGTGTCTGCCAGGGTGAAGGCACAAGCGGCACCCACCCGGTTATGTAAGGGGCACAAGTCTCAAAATCGCCGCTGGCTGCGGGTTGGCAGGAAGCAAGGTAATGGAAGAAGGGGTAGATGTATCGACAGTGTATCATTACACGCGCGCTCACACACAGAAAGATATATAAGCACGACGCAGAGGACACAACGAGCTGCCTGAGCACGCGGTCTGCCACTGAATCCGCCATCCGTGTGTTCTGCCGGCTCGTTGTTTTATTTTACATGGTTAAAGTCTTTCCCTGGTTCACTCAGGTATATTGGAATATACTATACTGGCAAAATACAACAAGTTTGTTGTTTCTGCCGCAGCATCCGACCATGTGGCTGCTCTGTCGACCACGTCGGTTTGACATTTTAGGACCACAAAGAAATCATAAACTGTGCATGCCGTACTCTGCAAAAGGGAATGCTTTGATGCCTTCCTGATAATCGCGGATACTAAACTGAGCTTTCCACAATCAAGTATTTTATCTAGTGCACACTACGCGTCGCAAGCAATATTCCAAATGGAATTTTAGATTTGTAATTGGGGTAGGAAAGTATTGCAAATTGTGCCAAAAGGTTTAATATGAATCCTCGTTAGAATACGCTCATAGTAGCCATGTAGCTATTAAGAACGGATTGAGATTTCGATCAAAAACCTAGAACCGCTAACATACATTATGTAGCTGTCCATTAATGGGCACCTGCGATGTTTGCAGAGGCAGTGTAACACATTCGTGCATCATAAAAACAAAGACTTGCTCAGTTAATCCGATGCCGAAAGTAAGCGAGGATACAGACATAGTACCTAATTTGAAATAGTTAGGTTTTTCATGTATTCGACTTCAGTGCATCTCTTCTGCCGCTATGTGAAGCTGCACATCGTGAAGACATTATCCCTATCTATTGGAACTTTTACTCGGACTTAGGTATAGCGATACTATTGTTTTACTATACAAAAAAATGTCTTTTATTGGCACATTTTACATCCTTCTTAACACCTCTAACTAAATAAAATCGAGCTTCTTCTTCCAGGTTATGTCTTCATTGAACCTGGGCGGATTCGCCAAGTGCATATTCGTACCTCAAATACCTAGCCCTTTATCCGAATGATCAGAACCCATTAGTGAATATATGGCATTGTTTAAACAAATATAGAAGATAGCTATTGCTATTAAGATCCTCTATTAACATGTTTCAGTATGGCCCTATGGCTATGGGCACAAATTTAATTCACACGAAGGATTTATGCTATCTTGTATTCATTTTGTACCGAGATTATTTTTATAGCCAAGGATTTCGTACAAGGGTCTTTCTATATCCGCAAATTCCAAAAAAATATCAATAATATAACGATACGAGGTGGACCCTGACATATTTTTACTGCTCTAGGGTGCCTATTTTGTGGGTACAAAGTTAAAGAATATTGCCAATTAACTTAAAAGTTTCCCCATTAACCACCCGTAATTTATTCGATGCCGAGTTATGCTAACGACTGATAGTCGTCCTACCGTTAGTCATCCTTTAGCGATAGAGATAATTGTTTTTTGTCGTCTGAGTTTATTTCTAGCGTTTATCTAGCTTTGCTGCTAGGCAGATAACGTTTCAAGAAGTACCAATACGCATGGATTGTTAACTTAACCAAAGATGAATGACAAGTTCAACTATCTGCAGTGTATACAGCCCATATCACAGAGAGATAATGTTCTTATATAGAGCGATATTTGTGTCGTATCGAGTACTAAATAATAATTGAACTATAAACAGGCTACAGATTAGTAATTAAAAAGTATTGCTTTTTGCTGCTGCTGATTTTATAACTAGAGACCCGGTGTTTATTGGTTGTCAAACCCAGTAACATGTGTTGCGTTCAATATCAGACGTATTGCTTCGGTCAGTAATAATTTATATCGAACCCAAGGTAAGCACGTACTGTATTATATACTGAAACCTTGTTTCCTTCCTACATTAATTGAAGGCCATTTTCATCAGTCGTAGAGTTGTAATTCTCCAACACAAGTTATTCCTTAACGAAGATGGGGGCCAATTTCCTACGCGCTCTTATGATTTTTGTAGGATCGCTTTATTGCATACGAGCCGGTTTTTTTTTTTTTAAATATTGGGCCAATCGTGTTATTACAAAATGCCGCCTCATTAATGAATAAATTTTATCGATCATAGTAACAATTTTCTTAATCCACGATTCGACAGTGCTATCCATCTCTTTTATTATGTACTGCGCGTTCGAGTCTACTACTTAACGGCACCCTTCTCTACATAAGGCAGCTACGAATATATAATGAATGGGTAGATATTTTTGATTTTGCTTGCGTTGGCCTAAAATCAAATAGCTAGACCTGCCTCTTGGTAGCAGGCTATACTGGTGATTTATTATGTTTGGATGAAAACTATTTCGGATTACTTTTGACAACACTTGATCCTTTGCGTATTTATTAGTGAATACCTTGTTTCTATTTTGTGTTATTTTTTTTTTATTATTCTCAGCAAATTAAACTGATTCACTTGCCTAGTTCAAGTTGTGTGTGATTAAAATGATTGCACTGACACAGGTGCTTGTGCTATGTGCTTTCAATTTAACGCCAATCACGATAAACTGTGGCTTTTGTGAACCACTGAGACGTCGCACGACGCTGCCCCTTAAATAACTTGACCCACTAAATAATTTGGCATAAAGAGCTCACTGAGATTTACTTTTTTACAACTTGAAATTGCTTGCATGTGCCGTAGACACTATTTTTTGTCCCTATTTTAGGCGTTCTTTTCATTGGTTGAGGCATTTGTAAAAGGATAAAACTTAATTTCTACTTTTTGTTTTTCAAATGTTCCATGCGTTTCATATGGGAAGTCAAAGTCGTTACTAAGTATTATTATTATGCCGTTTCACAGAGAAACTCTAAATCAGGCTAGCAAGAACCGTTCTAAGAGCTCTTTCCAAAGGGGTAGGTTCTTTCGAAGTTTATTTCTGAGGCTTGTTTACACAAAGAGAATCGCCGGAGAATTGGCTAAAGAGCAGGGTTTGCTTAATACTAACTTATCGAATTTTAACTGTTTTTCAGAACTGTTAGATAAAATGATGATATAATAGCTCCTACTTTTAGTAGAAACAGAACGATGATATTAACCGATCATTCAAACGTATTCGATACATTTTTGTTAAGTTAGAATAAACAACATAAGTTTCCGCAGAACCTTATCTTATTTTACGTTGTATCTGCAGCTGAACGTAAACTTAAAAAAAATACTTAACGTAAGTGGGCAATAATCTCCACTGGAAATAGTATGTAACCTTTATTAAAGGGTTTCGAAGAATTTGCGGTCTTCTTGAGAAGTTGTTTCGAAGCGATGGTCAAGATCATGCTAGAAGTAACTAAATGCTGCAAAAACGTCTTACGCCTAAGTTGCTTCTAGGACATTATGACCACAATTCTAAATCAGGGCTGCCTTGTCGTTGATAAACTGATCTATATTTTAAGGGGGACGTTTTCTGAGAAAATGCTTTCACTTTTAATCATAAATAGTTCTATTAAACATATCTACTGTGATGTACGTATATAAAAATAAGTCATGCATTCTGGAGGCTCCTGAACAACGACGCGACACTAAATCGTATGCCTTTCAAAATTTGATCAAGCAAGTGCTATGCACATGCGTACCACACCCCCCCCCCCCCCCATGTCTGTCTCCGTCTTGTGGCCAAACCAAAACGCTTATTGATAATTTTAAGGAGAATTACATAGAGGAGGAGTATGAATTCAGACCTTGCATCT